GGGCGCGTGGAGGCTAGCGTGGTGGGTTCTATGTTGGAGGGCCCCTGTGAGGTGGAAGGGTTCTGTGAGGTGGAGTAAGTGGGGTACCATTTTGCTTGCTCATCCCATAGACATTCTCTGAGTTTGTAGTAATGCTGTGACTGATAGGATATGAGCACATCCAGTGGGGGTGGGTCTTGCTCTCCTAGAGCCTATAGTCTGGTAGGGGTGTGGGGAAAGGAGTGAAGAATGAGGCTGGTCTGGCCCTGACGTTGTGTGTGTGTGAGTATCTGTAAGGGTATATGGTTAGCAAGAAGGCTGTTTGAGTGCATTTGTGCACATGCTAGAGTGGTGTACTTGTGGGAGAGGGCTGTGAGTGTGTGGACGGTTTGGGATGTGTGAGGGTGCGACAGGTGTGTAAGGAGGGCATTTCAAGTCGGGGTACATGTAGGGCTGTTTGCACTTGAATAAACACGGGGGTATTCAAGTGGGTATTCATGAGGGGTTGGAAGGGTCTATGTTGTGCGCTGGGGCCATCGCTGGAGAACAGCAGTGTTTAAGGACTGCTGCGGCTGTGCGGAACATCTTCTGTGACTCAAGGATGTGTGTGCTAACCATGTCTGGTAGCGCTTGGGGCAGGCCATCTGCCCTCACCCCTCCATTTGCTACCCCCACGGCATCACTGGCTCCTAGGATGGGGATGGCTGAGAAGCCCTGGACAGAGCATCCGGTATTCCTCTTCTTGAGGAGCTGGGAAAATGAAAGGAATTTGGGGAGGGGTTGGGAGTGTGGTGCTGGGCTGGAGCTTCGGGTCCAACTGCTAGCTCTCTTTGCCACCCTCTCACAAATCTGAAGGGGCCTGCACCACTTCTTTCGTGATTCCAAACATAGTCCCTATGGGCTGCCTGGAGCCTTAGGGAGGGGAGAAGGGAAGGTGTTTGCTTAGGGAGTGATTAGAACCTAAATTCTCTCTCAGACCTGTGCATTCAGATCAAACTACTTGTACAATCAGCATCCCTGGGGCAGCTTCTCACTTGACTGAACTCTGTGGTGATGTGGGTTTCCCAGAGGTGTCTGGGTGGCACCCTGTACCTGCAGTGCGTGAAGTTAGGAGCTTGGGTGGCAGGTGAGTGGGGGGAATGGTCCTTGGAGCTGGCTGGGGCTGGGCTCACCAGCTCCACCTCCTGCAGGCTTTGAAGCGGAAGCCAGATTTGTTCCTGTGTGAGCGATTGGATGTCAAAGCTGTGTTCCAGTGTGGTAAGTGGGGCCAAGTGGAAAGGTGGGCGTGGGGTTCCCCTGCCATGACAAGACCCCATCTGATGTACCTCCACTTCTCTCACAGCCGTGCTGGCCCTCAAGTTCCCTGAGGCACCTACTGTCAAGGCCTCCTGTGGCTTCTTTGTGAGTCCCACTCTGAACCCCCTCCAGAACTCTGAGGGTTGGGGTGTGACGCAAGGATTTCGTCCTCAGGGAGAGGTGGGAAGGAGCTGGGGCTGACAGGCATCTGTCTTTTGCAGACAGAGCTGCTGCCTCGGTGTGGGGAAGTAGAAACTGTTGGGAAAGTGGTACAGGAAGAAGGCCGTATGCTGCTCATAGCAGTGCTGGAGGTGAGTTGGAGTAAGTGGTGGGTTGGATGTGGGGAGAGTGTCCCTGCTGAGGCAGCAGGGATTGAGGAGGGGGGTAGACGAGTCTTTGGTTCCCTGAGCTCTGACTCTTTCTCCCATGATTAAATGTCTGACGTTTCTGTGAGGACCAGCTGGCTCTCAAAAGACAGTGCTTACTCACACAGCCTGGCTGTGGACCTGTCCCAGAGAGCCTAGCAAGGAGGCTAGGACTCCTTGCTACAGAAAGTCTCTGATGTACTGAGAACCCCTCTTCCTCAGGCCATCGGGGGCCAGGCCTCCCGCAGCCTTATGGACTGCTTTGCCGACATCCTGTTCGCACTGAACAAACACTGCTTTAGCCTCCTGAGCATGTGGATCAAGGAGGCACTCCAGCCGCCTGGTTTTCCATCTGCCCGTCTCAGCACCGAGCAGAAGGACACCTTCAGCCAGCAGATCCTTCGGTGAGCAGAGCTGGTGTGGGCCTGAGCTCGCGTATGGAGGTGACGGTGTTGCTAGACTACATTAATGTGCTCTCCTTTCCCTCCTCCAGTGAGCGAGTGAACAAGAGACGGGTGAAGGAGATGGTGAAGGAATTTACACTGCTGTGCCGGGGCCTACATGGCACAGACTACACAGCTGACTACTGAGGGACACCTCTGTCCCACACGCCCCTTCTTACCCCTTCCTGTTCCCAAAGAGTAAACCTGGACTCTCAGTGCTGCCTCTGCTTCCTTTCTGCTTCCACCATCGCCTAACTGGACCCAGGCCTGATGGAAGAATAGAAGGATGCTTGGACCCAGGCCTTGGCGAAGAATAGTGGGGACATAGGGTGGGTGTGGTTAATCCCAACACTTGGGAGGCAAAGGCAGGCTGATACCTGTGAATTCAGGGCCAGGTTGGTCTACACAGTGAGTTCTAGGACATCCAGAGCTAATAATGAGAACCTGTTTCAAGACAAACAAGCAAACAAAGAATAATGGTGGGGACACCTGGCTCCCAGGGTAGGCACCACTGTCCAAGCTGCCTCGCCTGGAACCAAACACTATCTGCTCTTGCTCGCAGGGTGAGAGACTAGAGTAGCATCAGTAACACATACACACTCCTGTTAGAGTCATACATACATTTAATCAGCAATGCCGAGTACTAGGTTCTAGGCCAAGCAAAGGCTGACCTCATTCATAGCTACTGTACTCAGTAGAAAATGGGTAAGGAAGGCTGCATGGAGGTTGCATTTCTGATGAGGATAGACCCTCGGAATCCACTCGGGGTATGGGAAGAAATGGGGTGGAGATTTGATTTCCAGGATGGGTGTGTGGTATTGATACTTTATTTTTATTTGCGTTTATGCTTACTTATATTTTTATGGATAGTTTTTGAGTACATTGCAAGGGGACGGAGACCTGGGCCTTAGCCGGTGTTCCACCTGCATTCTGATAAGGTGTTTAGAACATCCGACCTTGCACATGGTTGAGAGGGCTGTGGAGAGTAGGGTGGGGTGAGGAGAGCTGGAAGGCCTTTCAGCCCTTACAGGAGGAGTAAGTATTTCCTACCATTGCCTGTGGACCTCCAGCCGTCCAGTCTTAGGATCGCTAATGTAGATGTGCTGGGCCCATCAGGACCACGGACAGCGCCCGGCTGCTGGACTTCCCTCTTTTTCTTTCTCTCACGCTTGTGTCTGGCCTGCCTTTCTGGCCGTCCAGACAGTAAGATCTGAAGAGCAGAGCGGAGCTCGCCCCACTCCCGTCCCTGACATCTGAATCCACTTGATGGGGTAACATGCGTCCCACTCCTCTGTTCTTTAACCAGCTTTTCGACGGATTCTGTGTCTTTCATCCTTTTTCATCCAGTATCTTCCTGAGCCAGCTAGCACCAGTCTCCTCCACTTCATCATTTATCATCCCACTTCTCAGTCCCAATTAAAAAAATTACATGTATGTGATGTGTGTATGCCTGGGTTTATGTCTGCGCACCACACAGTGTTACCTGTAGGTACTGGAAGAGGGATCCCCTAGGACAGGAGTTACGAATGGGTGGGCGCTGGTAACTGAACCCAGTCCTCTGCAAGGACAGCAAGTGCTCTTAGCCACTCAGCTGCTTCTCCAGCCCCGTCAGTTCCATTTTTACAGCACTTGTTTCTCAGCTCTCCTGGAGGATGCAGATAGTCCACGTGTTTTCAGACCTTTTCCTACTCCATTGTGTTAAGAGACTGTCTTCTCCCATCCGTCCTCATGATGGAGGTGGGAGAATGTGGGTCTAGGGCTGGGGAGGTAGCTCAGCAGTAGAGTTCCTGCTAACCTAGCATTTATGTGGCCCAGGTTCAGACCCAAGGAAGTGGGGAGAGAATAAATGCGGGATCTAAAACTCAGCTTCTGCAGTCAGCAGACCTAGTTTTAGTTGTTTCCTTATCTATGCAACAGGATAATTCTTTCTCCTAAGACTGTAGTGCTGAGCTGGAGAGATGGCTCAGAGGTTAAGAGCACAGGCTGTTCTTCCAAAAGATCCTGAGTTCAATTCCCAGCAACCACATGGTGGCTCACAACCATCTATAATGAGATCTGGTGCTCTCTTCCAGCATGAAGATGTACATGCAAGCAGAAAGCAGAACATTGTATACATAATAAATTCTTAAAAAAAAAAAAAAAGAATAGTGCCTAGGCTGGCCATCGTTGCTCACATCTGTACTCCCAACACTTGGGGAGGCAGAGGCAGGTGGGTCGCTGAGTTGGAGGCCAGCCTGGTCTACAAAGTGAATCCATGACAGCCAGGGCTACACAGAGAAACCCTGTCTCGAAAAGCCAAACAGAAAGAATGTAGTGCCTGATGAACTTAGCAAGGGCTCCGTGTTCTTCTGACAAACTGGGGGTAATAACATTTGGGATATGCGAGGACTGTTTTGTAAAGTTATAACTCGACCCTTGTGACAATCCCTCAGCCGACTAGGTAAAGGCACAGTCGCGTTCATTCCTACAATGCCTGGTAGTAAGCGCCCACCCACAAATTCAAACCCAAGCAGTGGGCACTGAGTTGGGGAAATTATGCAGTACTGGGAGGCCCATCTTCAGTTATGCAGCAAGACCCTCTCTCAAATTACGGGGCCATGAGATGGCTTTGGTGGGTTAGGCAGCTTGCTGCCAAACCTGAGTTGGACGGTCGAGGAACCCTGCCCTCCCCCCACCACCACACGTTTAAAACAAACTTCACTAAACATGAGATGCTTAATGTGACCAGCAGATAGGGCCTGCTCACACTGACTCAGTAACTTAGGAAGCAGATATTCCCCAGGCTGACCTGAGGGTACCGGGTGAAACCACAACACCCACAAGGCTTCGCGGCACTTCCGATTGGTCCTGAGTGCGAGGTTGGTGATTGGTTCGCTGTAGGCACTCCTTGAACCCGGAAGTAATCTCCGTAGGTCCATGTGTTGTGGAGAGCCGGGAGTTGGGAAGCGTAGAGTGTGGTTCCTAGGGCTCATGGACAGGTTGGTCCCGATCCGCAAACAAAACTGCTGTGACTTTGAGGACCGTTGAGGGCGCAGCTGCATCTTGCCCTACCCAAGTTGTGCCCCATGGAGTCCGCGTTCAGCAGCCCTGCGGAGGCCGCCCTGCAGCGGGAGGTGGGCGTCCCGGGACTGTTGACTCCTCCCGAAGACCTCGACCGAGTGTACGAGCTGGAGCGAGTCACGAAATTTGTCTGCGACTTAGGGTGTCAGCGGGTGAGGGCTGACGCCGAGAGGGAGGGTTGGCTCCCTCTGGGGAAGGGTTGCCCTGACTGGGATCTTGGGAGCGATGTGAGGACGGGTGGGTTTCGGAAATCGGAGTCCGCCCGCGTCGCACGGACCCCCCACCACTCCGTGGGGCTGAGTGTCCCTCTGAAGTAGGGGCTTGGAAAGTCGAGTGTTTCTTTTGCAGAGTCTCTTGGTAGAGGACTGAGGTTTTAAAACCTGACTTTAAGATTTGTGCTTACAGGTGGCCTTGCAGTTCCCTGACCAGTTACTGGGAGATGCCGGGGCTGTCGCCTTCCGGCTGGAGGAAGTCACAGGATCTAAGATGTTCATTTTAGGGGACACGGCTTATGGCAGGTATGAACTCGTGCCGAGGGTAAGTGCGCAGGGTGTGAGGATCCAGGCCTCGTGGGTTTTCCGCGCTGATAGTGACTGCCTCCACTGACTGTGCTTGCATGAGGAGAAGCTCCTGATGCCAGCTCCCCTCAGTGACCATGAATTCCTAGCACGGTACCATTTTCTTACCTGATCCCATTTCCCACTGATGACAACCCTCTCCAGGTAGGGAGCGCGCTCACCAGTGTTCTCTCCCTGCAGCTGCTGTGTGGATGTGCTGGGTGCCGAGCAGGCTGGAGCTCAAGCCCTTGTACACTTTGGTCCTGCCTGCTTAAGCCCTCCAGCCCGCCTGCTGCCCGTCATCTTTGTCCTTGGTCAGCATTCTGTTGCCTTAGAGCTCTGTGCAAAGGCCTTTGAAGCTGAGAACCCAGATCCCACAGCACCGGTAGCACTGCTGAGTGAGCCAGCTTGTGCGCACGCCCTAGGTGAGGGATCACTCCCGTGAGGGAAGGAGAGGTGGGTCCATGGCTGCATGCCGTGATTTTCCCCACTTAAGCACACTTCCATAGAGCTCTTGGCCTAGACTGGCCTAGCTTGTGCTTTAGGGTCACATTTAGGCACCTGGATGTGAGCCATCTCCTACTCTGCCAGACTTCAACTCTGATACTGCCTCCTCTTTCAGAGGCTTTGGCCACTCTCCTGCGCCCAAAGTACCAAGATCTGCTCATCTCCAGCCCAGCTCTTCCCCTGCCAGCTGGGTCCCCAAACGCACAGCCTGAGTCCCTGGAGCGTTTTGGACGCCGCTTCCCCCTGAACCCAGGGAGACGTCTGGAAGAATATGGTGCCTTCTATGTGGGAGGTTCTCAGGCAAGCTCTGACCCCAGCCCTGATCCTGATCTGAGCAGACTGCTTTTGGGGTGGACACCAGGACGGCCCTTCTTTTCCTGCTGCCCAGACACAGGACAGACACAAGACCAGAGTGCCCAGGCTGGGCGCCTAAGAGCACGGAGACTGTATCTTGTGGAGAGGGCCAGAGATGCCCGTGTGGTGGGGCTGCTGGCGGGCACATTAGGGGTGGCCAGGCACTGTGAGGCGCTGGCACACTTGCGGAAACTGACTAAAGCTGCTGGAAAACGTAGCTACGTGTTGGCCCTGGGGAGGCCCACGCCCGCCAAGCTTGCCAACTTCCCGGAGATGGACGTCTTCGTGCTGTTGTCCTGTCCGCTGGGGGCTTTAGCCCCACAGCCTCCAGGTGGCTTCTTTCGGCCTGTATTGACACCGTGTGAACTGGAGGCTGCCTGTAATCCTGCCTGGCCGCCTGCAGGCCTGGCTCCCCACCTCACACACTATGCAGAGCTGTTACCTGGTGAGCGGTGGGGCCGTATCTTGAAGGTTGGGGCTTGCAGTTGAGGAACCAGAATAGCCTTCTCTTCTTCTGTTTCAGGTTCTCCCTTCCATGTGCCACTCCCACCACCTGAGTCAGAGTTGTGGGACACCCCAGATGTGTCACTCATTTCTGGGGAGCTCCGACCACCGCCTTCATGGAAGTCATCAGATGACACTGGGTGTGCCGCCTTGACTCCGAGGCCCCAGCTGGAGCTGGCCGAGAGCAGCCCCGCAGGTAAGCATGCAGATCCCTGCCCCCTTGTAATCTCCCCCAGGCCCAGCCCACATAGCTTGTGTTCCTTCCCTCTGCAGCCTCGTTCCTTAGTGCTCGGAGCTGGCAGGGGCTGGAGCCCCGCTTGGGCCAGACACCAGTGAAAGAAGCTGTCAGCGGAAGACGGGGTATCGCCATTGCCTATGAGGATGAGGGAAGCAGATAATACTTGATAAGTGTGCTGGGCCCTGTGCTCCATGAACCGGCTTCTCATCCTCTTGAGGTGGTACTTGAGCCTGGACAGAGGGAGTGCAGGTGGCTCTGACCTGCGGAGCTGCCGAGCTTGTTCATTAGTGCAATAAATGCCTGTTTGGTGGGGAGTTCCGGGGCTTTCCTGGGCCCGTCTGTCTGCAGTCTGGAACCGAGGCTGATCCCAGTGCCTGGTGTGCATGTGCAGTTCTGCCCTTGTTCGGGGGCAGGGGCTGGGTGATCAGACCAGGGCTCTTCCACCTCAGCACTGTTGACATTTGGGCAGAGTAATTCTTTACTGCAGAGGCTATCCTGTATATGGTCGGATGTTTAGCTTCAGCTGACTGAACCCACCCCCAGATTATCTTCAGATGTTGGCAGATGTCACGTAACTGCTAAGTGAGAGCCATTGGTCTCGACCTGCACTGTCCAAGACAGTGTTCATTAGACACATGGCTTTTGCAATTTAAAGTTGATGACATTTCAGGCACTCACATGGCTACATGTGGGACTTGAGAGGACAATTCCATCATGGCACAAAGTTCTGTTGGATAGTGCTGGGCTACACTGACTCAGACTTGTTTCTTGGAGACACCAAAGAAACTGAAATAAATGGAATACTTTTTGTTTATTCACCAAATAAACCTTGGTTCTATACAGTTCCTGTGGAGATGTTATAACTGGATTTCTGTCCTCACAATGTGGTTGGTGGGGAAAGAGTGACCCCATGAAATAGAATCGTATGTGAAGAAAGGAGCCCCAGGGGCAGCTGGATCTCAGGCTCCTGAGGGGGACAGGGGCATCCCAGAGAGGGGAGTCTGAAGTTGGATCTTGTAGAGAAAAAAATTTTTGGCAGACTAAAAGAGTGAAGGGAACATTTGGGCCCAACCACAGATGGACTTCAGTCAGTATGGTCGGTTCTTCAGAGTTGTTGTGGGGGCTGGAGGTCTAGCTTGGTAGAGTGTAGGCCTTAGGGTTTGATTCCCAGCACTGGTGTGTGTGTATAGGTAGTTACTGGATGCCAGAAGAAAACAAAACTTACTCATTGTCCACATTAACCAAAGAATCTTTTATGTACATTGATGTTTTGACTGCATGTCTGTGTAAGGGCGCCACATCCTTTGGAACAGGAGTTACAGCTGTGAGCTGCCATGTGAGTAACTGGGAATTGAGCCAGGGTCCTCTGGAAGAGCAGCCACTGCTCTTAACTGCTGAGCCATCTCTCCAGCCCCAACCTGAGACTCTTACATTGGCACTGTCCAGATCAGGTCATGTCCAGGCTAGTGGTGGAAGCAGAGCTGTAGACTGACATGAGAACCGGGTTAAAGTGAGCACCAATCAGGTATTCTACATACGTGTTATGAGGACCCATCTGTACAACAGGCACTAGAAACAATATGAGTACAACAGAAACCATGGCGCTTCCACCTTCTGAGGAGGATGGACAAACAGGAACAAAAGATAGTATATTAAGGGGTGATAAGAACTACAGAAAGCCGGGCAGTGGTGGCACACGCCTTTAATCCCAGCACAGGCAGAGGCAGGCGGATTTCTGAGTTTGAGGCTAGCCTGCTCTACAGAGTACGTTCCAGGACAGCCAGAGGTACACAAATCCTGTCTCGAGAAACAAAAACTATGGGAAAATGATTTATCAAGAAATGCTAAGAACACAAAGCTGGGAAAGAAAAGTTTAACTTAGACAATAGGGGTTAGATTATTAAACAGAATGAGTAAGGAGGACCATGAAGGTGAGCAAAGTCTGAGAACTAGAGAGCAGGGCACATGAATAACTAGAAACAGGGTGAACAAATATGAAAAGGCAACGAGGGAGAGGGAATGACTGACCAGGAATAGCTAGGAGGGTAGTCTACCCGCAGAATGTATAGTTTTAGGGGCCTGGGAACCTAGCTCTGTGTTAACAGTGCCTGCTTTGCATACTATAGGGATCCTAAAACATTTCTCTTCTTGCCGGAGTGAACCAGGAACAACCGGAGAATGGCACGGCCTCATAAGGATCACCTGGACACCGTGGGAGTTCACAGCTGGCACGCTACACTGCCTCTGGCTTAGGAAAGGCACCCTCGAAGAATGACCTGATGACCAGCAGTTGTTAGCTAGGCAGCGCGAAGACCTCGAAATCCTGCTTCAAGCAGAGGGAACATTGCAGCGCCTTCCTAGAACTAGACAGGACTAGAAAAGACTGCAGTGGTGAGAGCCCAGTGGGCAAGCTAGGGAACCGGCGGCTTGGAGGTGGACCGCCGCTTACCTGGCGCGGCGAGCACCGGCCGAGACTACAATAACCACAGTGCTCAGCGGCACCACGTCGTAGCGGCCCGGCCGCCGCCAGCCAGCCAGCCATTGTGCGCGGGGGTCACGTGGAGCCGGCGCGTCACAAGCGCCGGTCAGGTGGCGCTGCTGGGCGGGCCAACAGACTGCGGGGCGGACGGTGGACGCGGTGAAGCTCAGGTCCCACCGATCCGACCCCCGCCGTCTTCTGCTGCCATGACGGGGCTGGCGCTGCTCTACAGCGGCATCTTTGTGGCCTTCTGGGCCTGCATGATCGTCGTGGGTGAGCGGGGCCCAGGAGGGCCGAGCTGTCCGGCTGGGGCGGGGGCAGATGGCAGGTGGCAGCCCGAGGCCGGCCCGGCACGGAGCCCTCCCGTGACGGAGCCCGGCCGGCCCCGGGCTGCGAGGGCCACCCTGGCCCTGCCGGGGTCGCGACCGCCGGCTCCCCCTCGTCCGCGAGCCGCACACTTGGGCGTCCCGCTTCCTCTTTTTCCTCCTCGCCCTGCCCCCTACACAGTTTGTTGGGTAAACAGCGACTGGGCCGGCGGGATCTGGCGCGGCCGGGACGCTTGTCCTCTCCCGCCCGTGGAGGGGCTTGGTGTCATTGAGGAAAAGCCGGGTTATATAGGGAGTGGCAAAAAAAGAAAAAAATGGAGGCCTGGGCGGAGGTGCTGTTTTGCTCCGGGACTCTCGCTTGTCTAATTAGCTGTAGGTGGCGGACAGTTGAGCAGTGTTTCTTTAAGTTGGTGAATGTGTCTCAAAAGAGCAGCCCTTAACTCCTTTCCTCATTCGTGCAGGAATCTGCTTCACCATTTTTGACCTGGGCTTCCGCTTTGATGTGGCATGGTAAGGGAGGGCATGGAGATTCTCCTAGGGGATCCCTTCCTCTCTTCCGTAGCCCAGCTCCTCAGACACACGGGCGTTGGGAAATATGAAATGTACTGATGTAGCATCCTGGGTTGGTGGGCTGGAGCTGGGTGGGAGCCGAGTTTAGTGTGGTCTCCCTACCCGTCCTTTCCTGACCACAGCCGAATCGCTTTTTTTTTTTCAATGTTCTCACACCAGGTTCCTGACCGAAACTTCCCCCTTCATGTGGTCGAATCTTGGCATTGGCCTAGCAATCTCTCTGTCCGTGGTTGGAGCAGCCTGGTCAGTGCTGGACTAGTGGGAGGCGCAGAGACGGGGCAGGTGGCATCACTAGGTTCTTAATCATCCTGGGGACAGGGACAACTTGGGGTCCTCTGATCAGTTTCTTGTCCTTCCACCAGGGGCATCTATATTACTGGCTCTTCCATTATTGGTGGTGGAGTGAAGGCCCCCAGAATCAAGACCAAGAACTTAGTTAGGTAAGTCTAAGGGCTTTTGATGGTCAGAAGCAGCTGAGATGGAGGTCTGATGACATGACTTGTGACCAGGCTCATCATAGCGTGCCTGTGAGTCAAGGAAAGCTGGCTGGGGAAGAAATGGCTGATTTCCTTCTCGTCTCTTTTCTCCATCCCACCCTGAACCTTTACTGTTACTATTGCCAGCATCATCTTCTGTGAAGCTGTGGCCATCTACGGCATCATCATGGCAATTGTCATTAGCAACATGGCTGAGGTAAGGGAAAACCAGAGGAGATGGGCATCCAGCCCAATGGTCTGTGCTTTGCCTGAAGATTGGAGGGGACGGAAGGTCAGTGCATTAAGGGATGGCTTCCGGTGACTTAATTTTGTCTTCCCCAGCCTTTCACTGCTACTGATCCCAAGGCCATTGGCCATCGAAACTATCATGCAGGTAAGTGGGTAGCAAAATGCTTGGTCTTGCCATGCATGGCAGTGTGGGCCTTTAGTCCCGTTACTGGGAGGCAGCTGCAGGCAGTGAGTTAAGAGGACATACAGCCACCACTACCTAACTGAAGCCCAGGCTTGGACTCACACACGTCTAGGGTTTACACGCTTGCTCCTTTTTAGCTCTCAGCTGCTTTAGTCTGCAGAGCTGGGGTGAGATGGGCCCCATTAGCCTGTGTTGGGCACTTCATCACCTGTGCTTACCTTGGCCTCACTTGAGCTTTTTATCCTCCAGGCTACTCCATGTTCGGGGCTGGCCTCACAGTCGGACTGTCCAACCTGTTCTGTGGAATCTGCGTGGGCATCGTGGGCAGTGGGGCCGCCCTGGCTGATGCACAGAACCCCAGCCTCTTTGTGAAAATTCTCATCGTGGAGATCTTTGGCAGTGCCATTGGCCTCTTTGGGGTTATCGTCGCAATCCTTCAGGTGCTGAGTGCCCCTCTAGGGAGATGTGGCCTTTGTCCTTGTACCCAGCCCAGCCCTACTTTTCTTTTAGAGGAATGGAAGTACCTCCCTCCTTTACCCTGGAAACTCTGTCTCATCCCTTGGTTCCCCCTTTGTTGCCATATATGCACATATCTTCCTTTAGGCCTTCTGTTTGCATCTTTCCCCTCTCTGCTGTCTCTGGAAACGTCTTTGTGCTGTAGCCTGGGTTGGGATATCTGTGTCAGTCTAACTTGACATGTTTCTCTCAAGGGCTTTATACATATGTGAACTACTTGTCAGTAGAACAGCATGTCTGAATTCTGTGTTTTGTCACAGTATACGGGTTTTTGACTTGAAAGTCTCCCTGAGACTTTGGGTGCTTGACTGGGTTGACTCTTGGGGAAACTGGCACTATCTCTGTGGGACTTCTCTTTGTTGTACACCTCAACTCCTTTGTCCCTGTGCATGTTTGTCTGTTAGAGTGTATCTGTCCTTGTATGTCATCATCTGTGGTCTGTCTATCCATCCACCGCCTTGCTGGTTCTGATCTTGTCACTGTCCCTGCCTGATTTGTCTTGTTCTTCTTTTGCAGACCTCCAGAGTGAAGATGGGTGATTAGATGATCCGTGTGGGTGGGGCCGTGCCCCACTGTTATTTATTGCTGGTTTTCCTGGGACAGCTGGAGCTGTGTCCCTTAGCCTTTCCGGGGCTTGGTGTTCAGGGCCCTCCTGCACTCACCTCTTGCTGCCTGTTGACTCTGGAGGCATTGCAGTCCAGACTGAACCCCAGTGTGGGGAGTGGGCTGCTGACGGTGACTGTGTACAGCTGTGTACCTGTGCCCCTCACCCCTTCCCCTATCCAGCCCATCTTCCCAGTGTTCATGAAATAAACTTGGTGTTTGTCCCGGTCAGTGAGGCTTCTATTGGCCCTTTGCGACACCTTTCACAGGGGAAGGGTAGGGCCTTGGCACTAACTCCAACCTCTTGTAACTCCATCTCTGCTCTGGAAAGTATGCTTCTGGGGGAGGGAGGTCAGGGTGCTGGATGTTGAGTCTGAGCTCCGGGACCCTCCTAGCCCTTGGACCCCTGTGTACTAGACTCAAACTCAATACAGTTAATTCTCCTTCCGGGCTTCAAACTTCTGAAACTCCCCACACCTGGTCTTCCTAGAGCCCAGTTTTTTACTGCTCTTGATAGTCCTGTATGAACATCCAAAACCGTCCATAAACCGCTTCTCAGGTCTCAACTCCTGGTGCCCTGTTCAGCTCCGCCCATTTCGATCCAATTCTGGATTTTACCCCCTAAATCTACCCAACCTGCTTTTAACCCAGAAGTCACTTTCAGTCAACACGGTTAAGGGTCTTATCCAGCAGGCAGCCCGGTTGACTGACCTTGACTCATACGCCCATGAAAGACTTAGCAAGGCCTTAACCCCCGTGTTTGAGTCGCCCACTATCCAGACCCGGTCCCAGCTACCTGAAGGGCCTAGTCATCCGGCTTCTGGCCGCTTTTCAACCCTAAGGCAAGCTGGTGGAGGAACCTGATGAATTCACGCGCCCCTCCTGGGTCTCCGGCATCTCCTGCGGATGCAAACGCATCTCCCGGCTGGCTGGGCCGCGCAGGGCCAACGGCAGGGGCGGGCGGCGGAGCGGCGCGCGGCGCGTGCGGGCGCGCTGGAGGCGGGGGCCGCGAGGGCGCGCGCACGGGGGCGCGCCGGCCTGGCCTGCCCCTCCGAGGAGCCGTAGCGCGGGAGGGAGGCGGCAGTGCAGTGGTCCGTCGGTCCGCCGGTCCCTGGGTCTGCCCGGCCCCACCCTGCCTCCCGGGGCGGCTCGGCTCCATGGCCCGCGGCGGCGGCGGCGGGAGGTGGCCCGGGGGCCGTGGGGACCGCTGACCGGGCGGTGGGGCCGGGCCATGGGGGACGGAGCGGTCCGCAGCTGCGGGAGCCGGGATCCCTACCCGAGCTGGAGCGGCGCCCCCTGCTGAGCCCCGAGCGCTGGGTGAGAGGAGGGCGCGCGCGGCCCCCAACCCAGGGCCCCGACATTCCAGACCCGGCCCCGTTGAGGGGCCGCCCGCGCGCCGCCCCAGATCCTAGCCCAGGACCCGGTGAGCGAGGCGCCGGCGCTGCCCCCGGCCTGGCTGCACCCCACCCTACCCCCATCCCGCTAGCCTCCTGGGCTCCTACGTCCGCCCCCAGCCGGCTTCCCTCATTGTCCTCGCTCGCCCCGGCCTTGTGTCTCACAGAGGCGCTGGGCCCCGGCCCCACGTCTTCATACCCCGCTGCATGCACCCCTCCCCAGGGCTCCACACCTACCTGTCCTCTGCTGCCTCCCCCGTCCCAGGGTGCCACGTGTTCAACCTCCCAGCCCCGCCCAGACGCACCCCTCAGCCTGGTGGTTCGCCTGACCTAGAGCCTCTGCCCTGGAGGGAGGAGTGGGAATGCGAGCACGTGGGTCTGGGTGTATGGCTAGGCTTGTATAAGTCTGGGAGCCGCGGTTTGTTGATGTATGTGGCTGGTATGTTACTGTCACCCCAAGTGTGCCCGGCTCTATATGTAGGTCTCTGCGTGTCCCTTGAGTGCGGGTGCCTACGGTTGGACCTAAGGCTGTCTATATGGTTCTGTGTTGGCCGGAGATACTCTGCTCTCAGGAGCATGGCCAGACGTGTTTGTTGACCCTCCGGAACTACAATGGAGACCTGGCCCGAGCAAGGACCCTTCCCCTCTCCACCTCTGCCATCCTAGGAAGTTTACTCCGTCAGGACCTAAGCATACTCCATTTCAGGAATCAGAGCTAGCCTCGCTTATCAGGCTCCAGAACTAGCAGGAGCTCTTGAGTGAGGGTTAGCTATTGCTTGCCCCGTACTGTATTTTTACCCCCTGTTCCAGTGGGAAGGATCCTTTTAAACATCCTCTCCATTTTGGGAGGGCCCTCTGAATGCTGACGGTCCCTTTTCAGCCCGGTCCCAGTTGGCCAGGCCTGCTTGCTGTTGAGACCTGAATGCCCAAACCAGCCGTGGGACTAAGCGACTTCCCATCACGGCCCTTGGAAGGACTAAAGTCATAGTAGAAAGGATTCCCACTTGATAGCACTCCGAAGGTGAAGGTGATCCATTCCCTCAGCCATGTGTGCTGGGTTGAGGTAGCGGCTCTGTGGAGCACAGCTGGAGCCTGTAGTTAAAAGTGGTTGGGTGTTTCGGGGCAATCCTGTGTAATCAGGCTCACCTGTCCGTGCTGCCGTACAGTGAGGGTTTGTGTGTGCGCGTAGGTGGCTTAGGGTTGGGGTATGTCTAGGACAGCAGAGACTGGCTTGCCAGTGACTGCCAGTGACTTGGCAGGTAGAATACAGATAGGTTCCTGAGAGTCAAGGTGAAGACAGGGGCCTGTGGATGGGCAGCCGAGTAGGCAGCATTATCTGTCCTGCCCTGACCTCGGGATCTGTTTCTCCACCCCTGTTCAGGCTGGCAGCCGGATGCTTGGGCCCACTGGGCCAGCCACTGGCCGCCTGCGGGATGAGCAGACTGCTGGGGGGGACGCTGGAGCGGGTCTGCAAGGCTGTGCTCCTCCTCTGCGTGCTGCACTTCCTTGTGGCTGTCATCCTCTACTTCGACGTCTACGCCCAGCACCTGGCCTTTTTCAGCCGCTTCAGCGCCCGAAGCCCGGCCCATGCCCTGTACCCTGCAGCCAGCAGCAGTACCAACTGCTCTCGGCCCAACGCCACTGCCGCTAGCTCCGGGCTTCCCGACGTGCCCAGCGCCAGGCCTGGCACCACGGCTCCAGTCCATCCACCCTGTCCCGACATGCCGCCTGGTCTTGGTGAGCCTGCAGAGTAGGGTCTGCCTGTTGCAGGGGTGGGGACAGGCTCCCTCCCACCAGTGTGCCTAGGGAGTTGGAGTGTCGAACCATGGGGGCGCCCAGGCTCTCTGTTGCCCACTCCCAGGTGGCTAGTGTCCCTGGATTCTGGCAAAGGCCCTGACTCTTGACACTGTCCTGCCTGCAGTGGGCCGAGTGGTCATCGAGTTCACCTCACCCATGCCTCTGGAGCGGGTGCAGAGGGAGAACCCAGGCGTGCTGCTGGGCGGCCGCTATACTCCACCCGACTGCACCCCGGCCCAAACGGTGGCAGTCATCATCCCCTTCAGACACCGGGAGCACCACCTGCGATATTGGCTCCACTATCTGCACCCCATGTTGAGGCGGCAGCGGCTGCGCTACGGTGTCTATGTCATCAACCAGGTGCGTGGTCTGCGGTCCTTGGCTGAGCACTAGCCAGCGTCGAGGAGCTCACGTGCACCCACGATGTGCCGGTTGGTGCACATGTGGGGCTGGAGAATCCTGTGGGTCCTCCTCACCTGTTGCTGGTTGTCTGTCGGTGAACACAGGAAGGGTCTGTGTATGGAAGGAATACGAACATATAAATGTTGGCATGTACTTCTGTGGCATGTACATAGCTTGTTTTGACATCTCCTGGGGATATGCGTGTCAAACAGAGAGAAAAGATAGGTCAAACAAGAATGGTAGAGGCCTAGTGTGCACCGACTGGGAGGCAGGGTCAAGGGCCTTGAGGAGAGGGAGAATTAGACTCTGAAAGCCTGAAACCCTAAGTTTCTTAAGCATCTAAGCTGTGGCTAGAACCAGCATTGGGCTCCAGGACCCTCTCTGCCCCTGGAGTACTCGGTAGGAAGGTATATGGTTGGGATTGGAGTGCGGGCAGAGAGAACCCAGAGAAACGTGGTCCAGGCCTGCACCTGAGAGAGATGAACAGGCAGCAGCAGGAGGCGGCGAGCCTTCTGGGAAGAGGAGCCTAGAAGACCAGAGCTTAGCAAGAGAACTGATCTCTGTTTAGGAACTGTTCTGTTGGCTGAGGGGTGGTGGAGTTCAACAGCCAGGCCTGGCAGCAAGGGTTAGCCAGAGGGATTAGGGGAGGCCGCATCAAGAAAAGCCTGAGAGGTATGTCTGACAGTTGGGAGTCTAGTGTGAGCTGGGGGGGGGGGGGCATTGTTTGCAGTGGGGGTGCTGTATTACGTGTGAAGCAGTGTGACCAACTAGGAAGAGATTACAGTGGCAGAAGAGAGCTGCTGAGTGTGCTCACGGTGCAGCGGTCTACAGAGTAAAAGGGAGGTGTCGCTGTAAAAGAATTTGGAGAAAAGAGATGTGGAAACAAAGCAGGGGTTTTTAGTCTTGGCTGGTAGCAGTGTTCATGGGATGGGGACCACAGGCGCTGGGCCGTATCCAGTGGAGAGCAACTTGGGATGCTGTCTTGCCTGGAATGATGAAAGCTTGAAGAATTAGAAGGACATTCTGCAGGCCGACTGTAAGGCTGGACCTAGGGGGGACATCTGTGAGGGAGAGGGGCCTCCGGTAACACCAGCATGTACACAATTCTTTATTACACATTTCTTGTTTGTTTTTTGGTTGGTTGGTTGGTTGGTTTGTTTGTTTGTTTGTTTCGAGGTAGGGTTTCCCTGTATAACTGCCCTGGCTGTCCTGGAACTCTCTCTCTGTAGACTAGGCTGTCCTTGAACTCACAGAGCGATCTGCCTGCCTCTGCCCCTGGAGTGATGGGAGCAAAGGTGTGCGCTACCACACCCAGTTCACACAATTTTTATTGTGTAAATTTGTGAGTATGCACACTCAGGCCGTGGCACTCATGTGTAGGTCAGAGGACAACTTTGTGGGTTACTTCTCCCCTTCCCCAATTTACATGGGTTTTGAGTTTGAAAATTCCTTGGATCCAGCTGTCAGGCTTATCCAGCAAATGCTTTACCCCAACTGAGCTACCTCACTAACCCATAATTTAGAGTTTTTTTTTAAACATAGTTGTTTAGTTTTATTTATCTATTTATTTAGTGTGTGCGTGCGTGTGTGCGTGTGTGTGCCATAGAACACTTTTGGAGATCAGAGGACAACCTTGTGGAGTCCTGGGGATCAAACCCAGGTCATTAGGCTTGTGTGGGAATTACTGTACCTGCTGAGCCATCTAACCAGCATTGGAATTTCTTAAAACCCGCAACATCTGACATGCCTCTAGGGCATGGAATATTGAGAGTGGGGCTGCTAAAGAGGCCCAGAGATGGTCCCAGAGTGTGTCAGGAGACCCAGCTGTGTCGGGAAGGAAGCGTGGCAGCTGGGTGAGCGCTGTGGGGGAGTGAGAGGGCTGTGGACCAAGATTGTCCAGTGGATTTAGCAACAAGGTGGGCCTAGCGAGAGCCATTTCAGGGGCATGCTGGGGGCGGAAGCAGATTGCAGTGGGTTGAAGAAGGAATCCGATTTGACAGAATAACTAATTGGAGACAACTCTTAGGAAAAAAAAATTCTCTGTTGAGAAGGGAAGGCAAAGGGTAGGGTGATGGCTGGAGGGAAGTCTGAGGGTTTTTTCCCCCCTCTCCAGAGAGAAAGCGGAGCATGTTTATGGGCCATGTGGGAAAGACTGAGGGCTCCTGGCTGGTGAGAGTGACGAGAAAAAAGATGATAAGCCAAGAGAAAATGGCCAGTCCCTCTAAGGGCTGGGGAGGAAGGCAATGAGCAGGTGTAGGGTCAGGTCAGTGTCCCAGAGGGAGCTGCCTCCAGCTCTCGGTGGGTGGGGGCCGCTGTCTCCTGTCTCTGGGAAGCACCCATTCACAGATCCCAGCTGCAGAGCGTCTGTCTTTAGCCTGGGTTGTGGAAGAGGTCGAGGGGCCAGTTCTCATCAGCTCCTCCATCTCTGTCCAGAGTTGCCTGGGCCTGCATGGCCAGGAGCCCTGCAGCTCTCTTTCTTTGGGTCCCAGCTCACAGAGGAGTGGCTGTCGATAGCCCGTTGCTTGTCTTTTTTTATTGGGAAGACAAGATCATCCAGCACAGTCCTGCACCGGCTCAGAGGCTGCCCAGGGAGTTGGAAGTGGATCGAAATGGGCCAGAGGAGCTGCTTCAGCACTGGTCATTTAGGGCATTCATTGTTTGTCTCACGTCATGACTGTAGGCTCAGTAGGGAGGTAGATCCCGGCTCCTCATCTCTCCACCAGCACACCCGAGGTGCTCTGGCACAAAGAAGAAAGTCACAGGGTGTGTTTGAATGAATGAATGAATGAATGAGCACTCTAAATAGTGGTTTAGTAGACAGTGATATAAACTAAGCCCAGAAGAGAAGGGAGAATTGTACTGGGGCCTGGAGGTCTGTTCAGACGTCAGCCTTTCCCAGGGATGGGATGTCTAGATAACCAACCCCAGTGCCTGGTAACAAGAAGGTCCAGCATGTTCTGTGACAACGGCAACTGGGAGACTAGAACCAAACTGTAAAAGGTCTTTGAATGGGGGATCTAAGGTGAGAAGCTGGACTTAATCCTGAGAATCTGAGAGGTTGTGGGGGTGGGGGACAGTTGTGTGGGCCCCTGGGATCATGATGGAAACTGAAGTGGCAGGTACCTGCTGCTCTCGGACCCAGAGCTGATGTGTGTCCGCCCACTCACCCACCAGCATGGTGAGGAGACCTTCAACCGGGCCAAGCTGCTCAATGTGGGCTTCCTAGAGGCGCTGAAAGAGGATGCTGCCTATGACTGCTTCATCTTCAGTGATGTGGACCTGGTCCCTATGGATGACCGCAATCTGTACCGTTGTGGTGACCAGCCCCGCCACTTTGCCATTGCCATGGACAAGTTTGGCTTCCGGTGAGACTCTTCTTAGTAAGGCTCAGACCTCCATACCCCCACTTTACCCAGGCGCTTAGTCCCAGCTTCAATGTCCTCCTAGCCTCCAGCCCCCGGTTCAGATCCCTCTTTGTAATGTGGGTCCTCCCTGGGTCCTCGTTCCTCGTTGTCCCCACACACCATCTGTGATCCTGCATCTTGAATCCCCTTGTGACCCTGACACCTGCTCTTCCATGTCATAGGCTGCCCTATGCTAGCTACTTTGGAGGTGTGTCAGGCCTGAGTAAAGCCCAGTTTCTGAGGATCAATGGCTTCCCCAATGAGTACTGGGGCTGGGGCGGTGAGGATGATGACATCTTCAACAGGTAAGCAGAGACGGGCAGAGAGCAGGCTGGCTCAGGGAGTGAGGAGGGGCTGGCTGGGTGGGGCTCCTTACCTCTCCCTGTGCCTGTTGAGTCTGCCTCTCCCGTCCTAGGATCTCCCTGACTGGGATGAAGATCTCCCGCCCAGATGGCCGGATAGGCCGCTACCGCATGATCAAGCACGACCGGGACAAGCATAACGAGCCCAACCCTCAGAGGTGACCGCAGCACCCCTGACCCCAGGTGCCCCTGATCCCTTGCTCCCTAGAGGTAACTTCCCAGGATCCCGAATGCCTTCGATCTCTGACCCTGTAGAGGAAGCCTCTGAGCCTCTTTGGCCCCCAAGAAGTGCCTTCCAGAGGCAACTGTTGCCTAGAAATGCCCCAAATGCTCCTGACCTCCAGCCTCTAAAGGTGACTCCTGGCACCCCTGGCCTGGCTCCTAGAGGTGACTAGATTTTAAATCGTAGCTTCAGTTGTCATCGCATAGACTGCGTTTCCATCAGTGTCCTCAGAGACCTCACTTAGGTCCTTTGAATGACCCCTGCTTATACTGGTCCTGTCAGAGCAGATCGTGGGTGCCAGCCATAGATGATAACATGATAGCGGGTGCCAGCCATAGATCGAGGAGCCCAACAAAGGTGTGCCAAACAGAGGAAATGTGGGAAGGGAGGGTTGCGACAGTGCCAACCCCTCTGAGGTCAGAGCTGACGACAACTCCTTTTAGGGTCCGGATGTCCACTTTAGATGTTTGTGGCTGGCTGGGTAAGGGCTGGCAGGCACATGGACACACAAGCAGACTCTTTGAGTTTCCGCCTGCGTCTCTGAGTGCCAAGCCTTTGGGAGCCAGGGCCAGTGCCTGCCCTGCCCTCCCTCAAGAGGCTTACACCAGGCAAGGAAAAGTTATGGCACACATCATGAACACCAGGTGCTTTCCTGGCAGAGAAAGGAATGGGGCAGTGGGAACGTGGAGTGAGGCTGGGAAAGTTACTCCTTCGCTGAAATGGCCCATTCCCCTGGGCATATATTCACCAGTGCTGTATGCCAGGTTGGTGGAGAAGGCCAGAGTGGATGAAGGAACTTGTCTTTGTAAGAGCTGAGCATGAGCATGCACAGCGTATACTGAAACCTTAGAGCAACACGGTTCTTAGACATCTGCAGGCTGGGAGCAACGGGAGGGCCATCCCAGTGCTGGGGAGCTGGGGACCAGGGGAGTTTTAACGTTTTCCCAGAGGGCCCTGAGAGTCCTGGGGAGAGACACCATTGAATTTATTTGGAAGTCTTACTTTCTGAGCTCAAGGAAGATGAAGGGGAAAGGCTTAGCCGCTGGGTGGACTTTGGGAAAACCTTAATGGAGCCTGAATTCGTAAAACTGGAGGTGCTATGTCGAGGGAAGGACCCTTGGGACTTCTGTGTCCCCAGACTTTTCTGCTCTAATCTCCGACTATAGGAATAGAGAGATGAATTGTGGACTGACTTGGGGATAGAATTTGGCAGAAGCATGAGATCCCTAGGAGTCCGGAGAGCCAATGAAAAAGCGAGTGGTTTAGATGAAAACATGGTCAGCAGGGAAGGAATGACAGGCAGATAAATGCCAGGACCCTTGGTCTCATTGTAGGATTAGCTGGTCATCAATGAATGCCTGCTCGGGTGTGGATATGGCTAGACAGCATGAAATTTTAGGGCTAAGGAAGTCTGGATGGTGGCTCTAATACCTTTGGCCTCCAAGTTAAGAGTTATTCAGGGGTTGGAGAGTGGTGGCGCACACCTTTGACCCCAGCACTTAGGAGGCAGAGGCAGGTGGGTCTCTATGAGTTTGAGCCTGGTCTACAGAGTGAGTTCCAAGATAGCCAACGCTACACAGAGAAAGCCTGTCTTGGAAAAAAAAGCAAATGAGAGAGAGAGAGAGAGAGAGAGAGAGAGAGAGAGAGAGTTATTTAGGATTCTTCCCCCCACCCTACATGTTCAGCTCATCAGCAAAGCATGTCAGCACCACCCACAAAGCATTTGAGCCCATCGTCGGCTTTGCCCCTTCTCCACCTTTACCTTAATCTGTGACCTTGCGATCTTGCTCTGATGGCTGCAAGGGTTTTCCTGGCTCCCTCCACGTACTCTTGCTCACGGGATGTGAGCTGCTTATCATGACCTGCACAGTCCTCCCAGCCGTGCCCTGGCCAACATGCCAGTCTGTTTCCCTTCGTCCTGTGTGCTGTGACTTCGGCATGAAGCGCTCATCCCCCACCCCACCCCCCCGCCTTCAGCTTAGCCTCACATTCTTCTCCCAAGGTCACCTGTACCTGTAGGCACGCTCATGTTTTCCTTTGCCCAGTATCTGGCTCCCTTAGCGACGCAAACTTGCTGTGGGAGGGAGGGCGTGCATGTCCTGTTCATGGCTGCTTCCCTGTTGCTCAGGGTACAATCTGGTATACAAGAACGGATGTGGAAGGAGTGAGTAACGGGAGAGAAACAGATAATGGCAGGGGTTAGGAGAGTGAAGAGGACACTTCTCACATGGGGTGCATTGAAGCTTGTGGAATACCAGCAAGATAGTTCCGTGAGTAAAGGTGCCCACTGGGCTAGCCTGCAGTCCTGAGTTCAACCTCCAGAACCCACGTAAAGGTGGAAGGAAAGGACCAACACGGCATTATTGGCCTTCGACCTCTATACACATGCGTCCGTGATAATAAAATATATGTAGTGAAGGTCTGAATGGAGAGACCTGTGGGTGTTGCAGTTGTACTCTCTGACCAAAGGGGCTGAGGTCTCCGTTTTGAGAACAAATATAAGAGCAGGGGTCTTCCATCCTTGACGGTAGAGATTCGGGATTGAGCAGAGACTGTTAGCCTTGATCTGCGCTCCTCTCCCTTTCTAGGTTTAGTAAGATTCAAAACACAAAGATGAGCATGAAGTGGGACGGCATTGGATCAGTGCGGTACCGGGTCCTGGAAGTGTCCCGGCAGCCGCTCTTCACCAACATCACAGTGGACATTGGGAAACCCATGTCATGGCTCAACCTCAGTCAAGGCTGACACTAATGGACCAAGGCCCTCCGTGCCCTTCCGGTGTGGAAGGTTGCCCACCAGAGGACTGACCTACAGCCTGGCTGACAGCTGCTTTGGGATCATCCCTAAGACTGAGACTGTGAGCTGTTTTCTGAGTCTTAATAGACAGCCAGCTGCACCTAGAAGTTTCAGAACCCACTTCGAGGGGCTTCTTGGCAAGCCTCTCCTGTGGCCCTCTCTGGGGTCAACCCTTCTTCCTGCCCTACTTTCCCCAGCCCAAACCTCCTCACTGTTAGGGTTGGGCCAGCCCCTGCACTGCCTCTCGGAGTGGCCTGGGCTAGGTCACTCCACCTATTTGTGCCTCAGTTCCCCCCCACACCCCCACCCTCGAGTCCTCCAGGGCCTGGAAAGGTGGGAGGTTTGACTAGGGGGCAGTGTCTCTTCCAGAGGGAGCTCTCAGCTCTGGAGATCCCTCGTGCTTCCAGGGGAGGGGAAACCTTTTTCATTCAACATTGTAGGGGCAAGCTTTGGTGAGCCACCTGCTGAGGAGCGCCCCCAGGAGGGGACCAGAAGGGGTGCTGTGTTGTTTCCTGGGATCATGGGGTTGCCCTTTGCATGGGGGAACAGGTGGGGCCTGGATCAGTCGATGGTCCTGGCCTCCCTCCCTTAAGAGGCAGAGGCCCCAGGGCCTGCTCTGTTTATATGTTGCACAGAAACTTGTGTGGGTGCTTTAGTAAAAAACGTTAATGGAGTAGCGCCTTGTCTGTTTGGGAATGGGTACCGGTTCCCCGAACTAGTTTGCCGGGGTCATCTAGTGACTTCCAAACCCCTATACCTCCGCTGTTCTAAGGCGCCAAAGTTTATCTTGATGCCGCTTTGAGGCTAGTAGGGGTAAGGAAATAGCGAACCAAATGGGACCAGATTTCTCAGTTCTACTTCCTCCGAGGTAGAAAGGTGTCCCAGGGTAAGCCCAAGGTGCTAGAGAACTAACTAGCGAGTGGCGAATGGCGCAGACACTGGGCAGGGCAGGGCCTCTTTGGAGGGCTGAGCCGTTTCCCAGGTGACCGCCTCTTGGGAGGGGAGGGGCTAAGGCCGGATTCCCAGAGGTGGCCAGGATCCAGTACCCCGTAGTGTCTGCCGGTAGTAGGCCAAGAGACCGCACAATTCCAGTGAAGGGAACATAAACAGAAAAAGGCGGGGCCTCCATGTCATCAGGAGGGACTTGGTGGGCGTGGTTCTGGTCCAGAGCAACCATCCGTCTCCCAGGAAATCTAGTACTCTGACCTGTGGTCGGTCCGTCCTGTAGGTCTGAACAGGGGACCGCGACCCACGCAGGCCATGTCCGGGGACTCCCCAGCACTGTGGGAGCTAGTGGAGGAGCATGTTCCACTCCCAGAGCGGCCTGAAGTGAAGAGGATTCTAGGGGAGGCAGCAGTGGACCTGAGCCTGGAGTTGCGAGAGGAGGTGGGAGTCCGGTGGGTGGGGGGTGGGTCACGTTCCAGGCCTGCCCTCCAACTCACGTGATTTCCGGCCTCCACCGGGTCCCAGGCCCTATTTGGTGACCCCTACGTTGGTCTCACTGTCTGCCCGTGCCCTCCCTTGTTTGGCTCCTCCCATCCCTGACAACCCCCACCGATACACACACACCCATTCCCTCTGCCCCAGTGGCAAGGTGCCCCAGCTCTCCTTGCAGGTGGCGATGTTAAAGGCTCTGCTCCAAGAGATCCAGTCTTCTCAAGTTTCGGGATCCCACCCCATCTCTGCCTCTCCCTCCCTTCTGGCACCTCCCCCTCTCCTGAGGGACCTCATGCGCCAAGAACTCCGACAGTTGCTCCAAGGCCTCCGCCTTAAGGCTATCTGTGAGGGCAGGTGGGAGTCTCAGGCATGGCCTCCTTGCCCGGACATCAGATGGGCTGCCCCAGATAAAGAGACAGGGTGGCTTTTCCTGGGGTTTCCTGAATGGAGGTCATCAGGTCCCTTCATGCACATGTTTTCAGGGACCAGACCCAGGTGTGGGCCAAGTATAGTCCCAGGGTCCTTCACTTTGCCTTAGAGGAGCCCAGGTGTGACTCATCACAACCGGAACTATTCCCGATGAAAGCTGATAAGCCCAGGTAAAGGGGGAGGAGGTTCTGCCCAATTGGTGGATCCAACCCGGTTCTGTGGAAGAGTTCTCATCCTGGGGCTGGACACTTCTACAGCCACTTGTGATAGGGATGGAGACAGGAGGGCTGAAGTCCCGAGGGACGCCTGCCCAGCTAGGAGGCAGGCAAAGCTTGCTGGGAGAATGACTGCTTCTGTCTGGGTCCTAGAGTATGAGCAGCAGTCTTCCAAGCAGATGAAAGGGAGAGGAGTTTTTGCACGCAGAGGACAGGGGGCGATAGAGCAGTTCTCCTCAGGCCTAGCAAACAAGATTGAGGGCTGGGCCGGAGGTACCTGGCGAGCTGAGAGGAGGTGACAAACGATGTTTTCAGCTGGCAACAGAATGAGATGAATGAAGGTGCTCATGTTCATGAGAAGACTGTAGCAATTTCTTAGTCACCACCCCCCCAGTCCTATCAGCTGAGCACTGTACCCAATTTTCAGGTGAAAAAAAAATGACAGCTCAAAAGGATAAACAGTTTTCCCGAGGTCACAGGGTGAAGGTGGCAGAAGCCACATGCAAGCCCGGCCTCTTGGAACTATTGTTTGTACTCTGTAATGTTCCTTTGCGTGGAAAACAAATGCTCTACAAGTGGTATTTGTTCCCTGAAGGACTATGACGAGCAACACAGAGAGGGTGACGTTAACCTCACCTGTCGGCAGCCGTCACAGGGACCTGAGTGTCATCAAGGACCAACTGAATGTGTCTAACATTGACCAGGTTATCAGACACCTGAGGTGAGGCCTAGGAGCACCTGAGTGTGTGTAGATTGGGGGCAAGAAGACAGGAGTGGATCTTTAGGGGCTAGGGCTGAGAGGGGATCGTGTGTGTGTGTGTGTGTGTGTGTGTGTGTGTGTATGTGTGTGAAGTGGGCAGAGTTTAGTGGGGCTGCTACTATACCAGCAAGCAGCCAATTACAGGGAGCAGGAGGGGCCAGGGCCCTAGAATTTCAGCCAGGCACAAGGGGAGCCAAAGGAGGTTGCGATGTGGGGGCTAACAGAAGCAGGAGGAGCCACAGGCCCAGTCCTGGGGTACAGAAGAGGATAGTGCTCGTGGGGGTGCAAACACTGAGGTGCCTGGAAACAGCGGGGGGGGGAGGGCTGGAAGGCTGTGCCCAGGCAGCACCTGAAGGACGTGGCCCGAGAATGGAGGGGCTAGAGTAGCTCTTGGGGCTCCGAGGTTGGGGCCGCGTGGTGAGCTCAGCTGGGCAGGTCCTGCCTCACTGGTTCTGGCTGTTCACGCTCCTGTCTAGGAGCCTCCTGGAGGAGGAGTGTCGCATGCTGCAGAGAGAGGCCTCTGACCTGCAGGTGAGTGCAGTCCTGGGCCATCCCCAAGGTCTCTGCTTAGCAGGGGTCGTGCTTGCGCGTCTGGGTAGGTATGTGCGTGCCAAGGCTGTGAGTCCTAGACCTGTTTCTCATGTATCAGAGGCCGTGGTCAGCAGGTTAGACAAACCCACTTGACAGTCCCACATCTCTTGCACCCTCTCTCCTTACGTCTGAGCGTATACCCAGCTGCCATCTTGCTAGGCTTAGCTTTCCGCAGGCTATGCCCTCATGATGGTTAGTCTGAGACTCAGTGGCCTTATTCCTGCCCTACACTAGGGCTGTTGGTCCTTTAGGCAGGGCCACTGAAACGGCTCTCTCCACAGCACTGTCTGGAAAAGGAACAGATGCAAGCTTACCAGTCCTCCAAGGCCGCCCTAATGCCCACCCTGGCAGGTAAGGACCCCAGGGAAGCCCCCAGAGTACCCATCCCCCTACCTTTACCTCATACTGTACATACTCTAGAAGAGCCAGGTACTCTCTCACCGTGCCCTTCCTCAGAGATAAAAGAACAGAAGGCGGCCATGGAACGGGAGCTACAGGTCTCTCTGGGACCTTCCTGTACCTCCTCCAAGCACAGGTACACCAAATCACAGGGCAGACAGGGTAGGGTGAAGGGACAGATCATGGTCACCTCACAGCTACCATCTTGTGTAGGCAGAAGCCCTTGAGGTCATCCGTTCTGGGCCTCAGATCCTTTCCTTGTCTCCATGGCTACATGCCTACACCTCCTTCGGAGCGCTGCCCCCACCCTCAAGGTCAGACAACCACCCATCGACGAAGACTTCGGTACTTCTGCTGGGAAGAGCCAACTTCCGCATCAGTGTCTGGGACAGCATCCCAGGCCCCAACCTGAAGGGCTGGTCCCCAAACAGGCTACTGCTTCTGCTTCAACTCGCCTATCTGTTGTTGCCTCCAGCTTCCATAGCTCCTACCAGTTTCCGCTTCATTCTTGGATGAGCTCACACAGCCCCACCCAAGCTGAAAGTTTGGTTTGGTCCCAGCCCCGCCCCTTAACAGGTCGATCTAGGACTCGGTGGCAGGATACCTGTTCTAACCATCACAGCCTTTGGCCCCTCTCCTCCACTCAGGCCTCCCCCCAGAGGCCCCATCCCAGCCTGACTTCTTGGCCCCTAGGGGCCCAGACAAAGCATAGCAGCAGCTCAGAGACAGGAATAGAAATTTCATTAAAATCTACGGACTTTAAAACCCTAGTGATGCGCACCAGGCGGTGTCGGGCGGCATACCGTTATTGCTACAGAGGATTAGAGGTGCCTTGGCCAGGGCTGTCACTGCAGAGGGCACAGAGGACGGACACATGGACACTGCAGGGCTCGGGGGAGACTGGGGGCCATTTGGCACATTGAGTTGCGGGGGATAGCACGTCTGGGAAGACTGGGCCTTCAGCCTGGTGGAGGGCGGACAAGGGAATGTCGTGCACGGTCCCCTTCCCCAGGACTCTGGGCTCAAACTTCCTACTGAGAAGTCCCCTTTCTTTCCCTCCATGAACAAGTGCTTTGGGCAGGCTGCTGAGTCCCAGCCTCTGCTGGCTGGGCCTGACAACCGAGGTTGGAAACAAAGGGCAGAGACCCCGAAGCAGCCAAGTGAGGTGCAGGCAGGCCTGGAAGACAGACAGACTGGACTTGAGGCTGGGGGCGGGGGTGGGGGGAGAACCACAGATTATACGATTTTTACAAAAATAATTACACAAACAGGGCTGGGTGGTCGTCTGACGGCCAACACTGTATGGCCCCTCACCTCATCCCTGGGAGGAAGATACAGATTTGCTGGGGCGGAGGCTAGGGTCTGGTCTGGGGTCAGGAACACTGGTCATGAGGCTTGAGGGGAACAGGTGGGGTATGGCCACAGAACCTCTCATCCCCTGGTGAAATGGCTCAGGGCAGAGCGTGAGGGTATCAGAGGCCACGTGAAGCCTGGCAAGCCTCCGGGAACCCAGCCTGAGACCTCCTCCAAAGTGCTTTGGACACTGCCGCCCCACCCCCACAGCAATCCTCCCATCGCTTTCCCACCCCCAGCTGCTATCTTGGCATCCAAAGGACGTGTAAACATTGGGGACGTGAGCACAAACGTCTGCACGAGCAGTGGTGGCCAAGGTGACAGCAGCCATCCTGGCCAGGGCATGGTGGAGCAGGTGGTCCCACCTGCCCACTGCCTCCCCAGTCTTTGTGGTGGGAGCAAGGGTTGGGCGGGGCCTCTCCCCTTGCAACAACTGTGCTCATATCCTCGAGTCCTGGAGGCGACTGGAGCCGTTACTGCCCACAATGGGGATCTGGGCCTTGTCCGGGTGCAGCGGCTGGACCTCAAATCCATCTTCAGGAGACGGGGCCGTGGTGGGGGCATAGCGCCCAGTCCGGTGCTCCAGGAGGGCAGGGCCCCAGTCTCTGCTTGGCTTTGTGGCATTTTTCAAACGCTGAGGGCAGGGGACACAGTGAAAAGAGTGCGTCAGAAGAGAACCCTTAAGCTCCAAGGGTTTCCGCTTCGCCTGGCTGCCCAGCCAGTCTCCACTCCTCACCTGAAGAAGTGTGTCTCCGTCTGTGCGGCAGAGCTGGAACAGCGCATACAGCGGGATGCAGATGACAGACGACAAAGCCATGAGGAAGCCGATGGCCACGGCCCAGCCTGGGTACTGGTAGTGGTTGTAGGTGATTGGCCGGTATTGGATCACCGTGAAGATGAGAATGAACTACAGATGGTAGAGGTGAGATGTGATGCTGGCCAGAGCCCCTCCTGGACCCCAGGCCTAGCCCTCCCAGCAGCAACCCTTCCTCTCCAGACTCCTAAGCTAGCAAAAGGTGTTGAGGTCAGGGCAGAGGCAGCTGTCAATCCCTGTGTGACAGAAGTCAGAGGAACCCACCGCCTAGGTTGGGGCTGGCCATGGAGGCACCATAAGAGGGAGAAGGTATGTTTTTTGCCAAAGCCCTGAACTGGCAGAGAACAAGCAAGCGGCTGCCACTGCCTCGCTCGGCCCTGTACTGCCTTCTAAGATAAGGACAGATTCCTAACCTTAGGCCTGGGCTCTTCCGGATCACCTGTTATCTTGCTAGCCCCATAGCCCCAGCTTCAGCTTTCCACCTCAGGTTTTCCAGCACTTCTTCCGGCCTCCGTTCATTCTGCAGACCCACCCTCAGCATTCCTGTCGAGCCCTGAGCCAGGGCCACCTCTTTCAGGAAAACTTTTGGGATTTTTCTGCCTTCTAAAAGGCCTGTCCATGGCATCTCCCACCTGCTTTCCTCAGAGCCGCTGTTTCCTATAGTCCTGAGAGTGCCTAGGATTATTACTGCATTAACTCTGGGTCTAAAACACCTTGCCCAATCTCAGTTATCTGTTCTAGCTGATTTTTGCCAGAGATGCTCAGATTGGGAAGGGGGTTGAGGACAGGCCAGGTAAGGTCCTGCTTTCCACTGTGGCTGTGGACACAAGTGGCATTCAGCCTGGAGAGTGTCCTCCGGCTGGAAATGCTGAGTTCAGGTAGCAGACACACGCCTCTTTCCGAAGGGGTGTGTGAGGCAAGCAAAGGACCTAAAAGAAACAGATTTGGCCAGGTGGCTCACAAGCCACACCCAGGGGGCACTGTGAAAGGATTTAACCTGCCTCTCAGCCTTTAAGTGAATCCTGGAGCTAAAGTCCCTCTGACCTCCGTCATCCTGAACCTACGGCATCCTTCTTGGGGCACAATACATGGAGTGTAGGCCTCCCGACCTAGCAGAGCCTGTGGGTATTTGTGTGTTTGGTTATTTTCCTCTCTCTCTCTCTATCTCTTTCTCTAGACAGGGTCTCACTTGTGGCACCCTGGCTATCCCAGAACTCTATATGTAGACCAGGCTGGCTTCCAATTCAAATACTGGCCTGCCTCTGCCTCTCCAGTGCTGGGATTAAATTCAAGCGCCACCACGGCGGTTTTAGCAAAGCTTGATGTATATGAGGATGAATTCCTTCAGTGGATTTACAGAAGGGTGGGCTTTGTCAGAAGAGCTTTCACAGGCACACAGGGCCCCAAGGAGAACATAAACATGTCTGTACAGTGGGCCGCCCACTTTAAGGTGCCTCCAGCCTGGCCTTCTAGACACTGCCTGCTTTACTCAATCTCTACTCCTGGACGACCCACAGGCCCCAGGCCAAGGCCCATTGGTGGGTGACCCCCAGATAACAGAGTGCAGCCTCCCAGCCCTCGGGAGAGAACGTCCTGGACCTGGGCCAATGCCACAACCCCAGAGGGCATGGTGCCGGGCAGGGGTTCCAGGCCTCTCTGGCCTCAGTCTTGAAAGACTTCCGCTCCTCCTGTTTCAATGCTGGGCCTGTGGCCAGAACTGTTGCCCGTGCCAGGCTCAGGAACATCCCATACCCCATGCGGTGGAGGCCTCAGTCCTCCAGGGACCTTTTTTCAGAAACATGAGCCAGTGTGGAAGTCTGGTACAGAGCCCTCCGGGATTCCAAGGAACTGAGCATGGCACAGGTAACTCTGGACACTGCCTTGTCACTCTGTGAGGCCTCTGAGACTCTTCTGTATGGAGTGACTGAGTGGACGTGCTGACCCTCTTCTCACATAGTGGGTACTATGCCACCAACCCTTCCCCCTTCTCACTTCAAACAAGCCTCAGAATGAGCCAGGTTTTAGCCCACAGGCCATCCGTTCCCCCTCTAGCAGGGTTTCCTGTGGCACACTGGCCTGCATCAGGGTCCCTGCCCCTTATTAAGTGTAGAGTGGTGGGTCTACTCAATGTCCCTGTGCCTTAGAGCGAGAACAGTGATAACCCAGAGAGGTGTTGCATGAGTGAACAGGGTGAGGAAAGAAAGGCCTGGCTCCTTGTCGTTCAAGTACAGTGCTCTGATGCCCTTCCCTGCTGCTCTGCGTTTGCAGAAATGGGGATGCTCCCTTCGAAGCCATCCAACCTCCCAGCATTTGGAGCCTTAGGAAATGCACCCACCACAGAGCTGACCTAACGAACGTCTAGCCCTGCGCTGACAGGTCCTGGGGCTGCAGAGGAATGCTACCATGCTCACGTGTCTGCCATGTACCTTCCAGGCTTGGGGGTAGCCTCCATGAGGGTCTAGGGTAACGGTAGACAGAAGCCACACTGATACTCCAGAGGCCCTTTGGAGGCAGCTGGGCAGTGGTGCCAGGGAGTGATGCCGTGGCCCTGACATCTCTGAGCTTGGGTTATTGACTTCAGTCAAAAAAAAAAAAAAAAAAAAAAAAAAAAAAACGGCTCAATATCCACTTCCTAACCCAAGGCCAGGATCTGACACCTCTGAGAGTGCACACATCTGACTACCCAGGCCTCTTAGATGCCCAACGCCAGAGCTGTAAGCACAGAGCTACTTGGGAGGGCCAAGAAGCAGCAGAAGCGGGAAGGGCCCGGGAGGAACTTACAAAGATGATGGCTGGGGAGACGAAGCGCCAGCAGATCTGGAAGAAGAGCGGTGGTGGGAACCCCAGCATCATCTGGATGTCCTGGAAGTAGTTTCGGTGCCCTGGAGAGATTTCGGGGCGGGGGGGGGGGAGTCAGTGACCTAAGAGGACAGAGTGGGCCCGTCACAGACGGGGACGCCTGAGGCCATGGAAGGGTGAGCACTCACCATAGATGTACATGATGGACACGCACATGATGCAGGAGATGACTACCAGTGAGAAGCTGGCGGCGTAGTTGTCCATCAGCAGCAGCCAGTAGATGCCTGCCTGTGGACCAGGGTGCAGATGAGCCAGGGCAGCACAGAGCAGGCTCCCCACCCACTCCCAAATGCCGTGGCAAGTGCAGCGGCCCCCCCCATCTCCATTCTTACCTGGCTGGTGAGGGGAATGCCCAGCAAGAAGCCAGCCACAGCCACACCCAAGGTCACATAGGTCTTTTTCTGCAGGATCCACTCATTCCCCACCTCATCCACAATGGCAGTGACGA